CAGGACGAAACGGCTGTCCAATACTCCCTGGTTTTCAATGGTTCTATAACGGACATCAACCCATGACTAAACTTAACTGTCTTAAAACTTTTTCAGTTTATATCTACCCAAATTATGTGTTGTTTTGACATAGAAGTGGATTAGATAAGTACATTTTACATATCTTGACCACATCATTAACAGAGACACTCTACTTGAATAGTGGCATGCGTAATTTTAAATCCAACAATAACTATCCATTCAAAACCAGAGAGCACTGAACAGTTGTTTCATCTTGGTTTAGGAATAGCTGTGGTTCCGACGAGAATCCGTCACCGCTGAGGTCTACATAATTGGATGTGGGGATAGATACTCGTTGATGACATTGATTGATAACAGTGATGGTGACGGAAATCAAAGTTCATAGGCCACTGGATCCAAACCCAGCAGCCTAGTGTTGAGCTGATGCTCCTGGGTTCTATTTCTGGTGGAATCATGGGTGAGTAGTGCAGAAGATTCCTGAAGTGTAGGGAAATAGCTGGTCACTACAGCCTAGATTTCTGTGGTCTGCCGACTGATGTCATTTCATGATGTAATCCACTTTTAAGTCACTTAAATCTCCACACACCCAGTAGTTGAAAATTAGTGATTCATTATGTTTCTCCATTTCCTTCCCATAACTATTAAGGATAACTTTTGCCATTGAAAAATTTTGAGAGTTTTCCTCTTCATAATGGTTGGGTTAGACTGGAAATGCACATAATTATGTAAATAAACATCATTTCGGGGAAATCTTTTGAAATCTTTTCGAAATTTCTTGTTTTCCAATGACGGTTACTCAGAGTTCACTCCCTGTATTTCACTACTGGGTGAACAGATCTCAAATGTACCTGAAGAAGAATCTATCTCTGTCTAGTTTTCTCCCCTGAGGAAATTTTCATCTTCAAGTCACAAGGGGAATTTCTTCTAGGTGTGAACTTTAGGCAATAACAGGTGAATTCAAACGTGCATTCTGGCATTAACCAAAAGCGACTTGGTAGATGTTGTGACAATATTAGTCATGGGATTAAGGTAAATAGTAGTGGCAACTGTGTTTACACAAAGTGTTTACATGCCAAAGTCATGAAATGCATAACCATAATGCCTGCTTCATTTAGCTTGGATATCAACAGCTGCGAGTATTCATACTGATTTAGTCTCTATTCTAGTAAGCTAAAGTATCCTACACAATAAAGACATTTAACGTGGTTACGCTTCGCTTATTTCCTATGCATTTTTGTGTGTGAGTGAATGAAAATCATAAAAATGTGTTACAAGCTTCAACGCCTCTCCTGATTGCATAGCACACAAGAAATAAGCAAAATGTGTACTCTGTTTTGAAACCAGCTAGGCTTTTACATCGCCTGCCAATTCATATGAAGCAAATCTTGAAACAATACAGTGATTACCACAAAGTTTTCCTATCAAACATAGGAAGCTAAGTGAACATTCAAACTAGGGTTATGTGTTATTGACTTACAGCATGATTTAAATTTATCGACCATCATTTACTTAAGCCTGCTCCTAGAATTCATTCTGATTTGTAATACCAAAAGTACTGCATATTCATAGAACAGAGCCTAGATTTACTAGACTAAAGATATTTTGTAGGTTGAAATACTTGGAATTACTTTCAAGGATACTAAAAACTAAAAACAGATCAAATATTTGATAGAATGAAGAGTTGTCACATCGCAAAGTAACAGCAAGAATAATCAGAGTGAACTTATGGAAATAAAGCCACCGTATACTGTGTGGACTTTAACGATCATTTGCTTTTAGGATGGCTTCATGAAAGAATCACATTATCTGCCATTAATCCCGTTGGTCTAGTAGTGCAACTGGGTATTTCATGCTGATATAGTTTGAAATTACTGATACAATTTGTTCCGTTGGTTCACATTTCTAAAGACCTACTTCACTGAAACAGAGTTTTCCGCTTAAACACGTTGCTTGAATTTTCAAAAACCTCGTTTCCCTTGCGAAATAAGGAAGCACATTATCTACAGGGTCTTCAATAGTTATTTCATGGTTGTTGAATCTTAATGTTTAAGAAATTCTTAAACTGTGCTATAAGGACTGAAAGTTTCTAAACAAACTCTTTTGTGGTAGAAAACAGTCTAGAAATAAAAATTTCAGCCAACATTCATTGAGAATCTTCGTCTGCACGAAAGACACTGGGTGACATGTTACTTCAGCTTTTTTCTACGAGTGAACTGAAAGATGCCTTTTATGTAAGAGATAAGATGTGAAACTTATTTTCAGACACTGAGATAACAAACGGTGGTTATTTTTGCAACAACAATAGCGATATTCGACTATACGAATTCCATATAAGGTACACATAACTTATACGCGTTTTAATTCTAAATGGTGAACGCTTGACATGGGATAGTATTTCGCAGGATCAAAAAAATAAATTCAGGTTTACTTTCCTTAACTTTTCCATAGCTGATGCTTTTACCGTACTCATTTCTACGACCATGGAAACGATGAAATATCGTCTTCTTTAGTCGATTTTAGATTCTACTGTGTAGCTTGAACATTCGTAATTTTAAATTGACATTCTTTTAATGAATAAAACCAGGTGATTCACCTGGAAGATTCTTCCTTCTGAGAGACTTAAACCTACAGGAAGGCATTTGTTCAGATCCCCTACTGAAGTATTAGTCTGCTAATGCAAAAGTGTCTTATATTGTCACATAAGCGAATAATTTCCTGTCCCATTAATTTCTTTCCTATTGCTTTAGTATGCCGAAGAATCAAAACTGAAATTCATTTCCTTTAGGACTGACATTTTCAGTGTTCTGCCTTCAATGATATTTTGTTTTGATAACAACTAGTCTTCTGTGAAGATCAAGCAGATTTGCATACAGCTTTGTAGAGTTGGTTCTAAGTCTTTAATGTTACAAAAATGTTTACAAAAATAATCTAAACTTTCTGTGAACAACATTCGAAATGCAACTGGAGTATCTATCGTAACATCACTTCGTTTTGTATCTCACCCAGAAACCTAGCGTACCTTACCTTCCGTCTTTATTTCGAATACCAACAAAACAAGTCTGGATAACGCACCTCTCAGACACTGCAATCAATAATGCAAGACGTGAATATGTGGTATTCTCTTGGTTAGATTTATTATTTTCAGTGTGGAAAAATATCTCTCTTCTGTGGATTTATTCTAAGTATTACACAGTGTGCTCAATACAATAAAACGAAAATACCAATCTAGTCGTGATAAGTTACTTAGCGACAATTAGTCAGTATTGACATGTCAAGAGAGTGATAATTAACCGAGAAAATTAATGTAAACAATTAAAGGGTAAAAACAATTGCAAACATTAAACAAATGGATTAAATAAGGGGCAATATTCCCTTGTGACCGGAGGGTTTTGGTTTGGAGACCCAGTGGTTGCGTACTCATGAAGAGTCCCAAATTAGGATGAAGTGACTTTCAAGTACTCCCCAATTTTCAATACTTCTACAACTGATATCGATTCGTGATCAGACTCGAAACAAATCGAAACCCTACAAATCAACTCTTGAAAATAAATGGTTGTTTCGACTGACTATTTAACAAGCCATTAAAGATGCAGTGGTCAGAGAAATGAAGTAATCAGTAGAATGATAAGTTGTAAAAGGTTTAGGTCTCAATGACTGTACAAATTTCCTTTGGACATTCCGGTCTGGCTTCTTCATGTGAAATCCAGCTACCCGTTGTAGGGGTAGGTGGCAGAACAGTCACAAACATAAGTGAAATTAGTGTTTGACATAACCGCACACGCACATATGAGATGCATCAGAGCTTACTGTCACTTGTTCAGTGATATTCTGATGCGTGTTCGATTATTTCTAGGTGTTATGAATAGTTTGGTAACGCATGTCAATGGAACCGTTTTTATTTCGTTGTCAGGTTTCATAAGCTATCAGCAGTCACTGGTTCACTTAGTCTACTCTATTACGTAGAATAATAGATACACTGGACAAGTTTGCCGTTTCATTGCGATCTGAATATCAGTAGGAACTCTCTCTCTCTCTCACTCTAGAAATGAATTGTTCCCATGGAAGAAGAAGTAGATCTCAAACAAATTTATCTATTTAAAGGTGTATTTATTTATGATCTTGAACGGTTCTATGCAATTCATTGGAAAACTATTTGACACACCGTTACCAAACAGTCCCGGTTAGATCTTTGAACAGAAATAAATACTTTGAGTGATTAAAAGAGGTTACCTTAAAAATACCTTAGGTGGTGTCTACTATTCGTATTATTACTATTTTGGGCAAAGAAAAAACGGCGTCATTTACTATTTCTATAACTAAACTGACAAAATAAAAACAAGGCAACTGAAAGGCGTAACAATGCATAGATGTAGCATTTCATTGATTCAAGAGGTAAGAACTTGATTTCAAAAACTATTAGTTCACGGTGGTCGTGGGGCTCTGACTTGCAATGATAACACTTATAAACTTCAAATCAGCAGAAGCTGATTTCTCATTTTTAGTATGAATAGAATAAAAGGTATTAATTGTTTTGAAGTGTTAGTTTTTAGGGATTTGATTGGTTTCAACTTTGATCATGGATTGATATCATTTGGATGACCACTGAAAACCAGAGAGTACTGGACAGTCGTTTTACTCTGGTCTGGCACTCTTCAGCAGTACGCATCGGTGAACCCACCGGCGGTCGAACTCAAGACCTTCAGGTTACGAAGCCAGCTCATTGATCATTCAGCCATTTGAGCTGGAATTTAATGGCCTATGCATTCTAATTTCTATCATTCATGAATATTATAAGAAATCTGGTGTGTCTGAAATCATTTCAATATTCTGTATGGATAACCCTTTATTCTATCACATCAGCGCAATGTCAAATATATCCAACAAAAGGAAGAGAAGCAACTGAAGAGTTAACCAGTGAAAAGAGAAATTATGTAGACAATGGGACACAGGTTCACATGCCAACTAGATCATTTGAATCAATGACTAAAGATTTCGGTGTTCAGTTCACAACTAATGAAATTCTCCGAACATCTAATAAAAAAGAAATAAACAAAGTGGCTCCCTCACCGTGTCAGCTCATATCAACACCGAAACATTTACGTAAGTGATAGTTCATAAGTAATCCATTCCCCTACCTAGTTAATTTTATTCATTCAGTATTTATTGCTTTTAATTAAGGAAGCTAATATGTGAAATGCGTCCATATATTTAGAGATTATACTCACCGTGCTTACGAATGTGAAGACAGTAAATATTGACTTCATCTATATCCTAGTATGACAACACAGAGATTATTGTACGGAGAACTGATGAAAGTCACTAACCTTACGACAACCATTTCCCTTCCAATATACGAATACGATTGGAAGATTGATAAAGTCCTGTAGTGCTATAATTTGTTCACTTAATATTGCATTCACAGATATGTATATATATATATATATGTATATGTATATATAAGGTAACACTTCACTCCCTTCTGCTAACTATTCCCCATAGTTCGTAAGTTCTCATGAATAAGCACCTAAGCCACTACTCAAAATACGGGATACAGTAATGAGGACATTCGCCAACCTTCATTGTGAAAGTGAGAATTAATATAGTTGACTAAGTCTCTCTGTGCACGAGAATTCTGAGAATTCTAAGTTCGGTTTTTCCCATTTCTTACATCCTTCTTGGTATGGCTGCTTCATATCTGAAACACAGACTGACTACCTAGGGTCTGATATAGGTTGGATATAATATACGAAATAAACCTGCTGAGTCTTATGGAGAGGCCATAATATTCTAAGACTCCTCTCCGTTTGCTTAAGTTTGTGGGTCATTTTTAACAGTCACTCCTAAGTCCCTACGCCTAGTAACTACATGAAGAGCAAAGTGCATTTATAGAGTAGTTATGAATGTTGTTATAAACCACACGTATGACCACGTACTTGCTTGTATTAATTTCCGAAGGCCGATAGTTACATCGTTCTTGCCAAGTAAGGCAACCACTAACACTTTTAAGACCCTCCAGAGCCTAATATAGTCGGTGGACATTTTATTGCCAACGGTATCTAGTATACATAAAACAAGAATAGGCTGCTTAGAACTGCGTACTGAGTCAAAGTGCTCTTCATTGGCTGCCATGATAACAATAAATGGTTAGAGATTTATCCGAGCACAAACAATGACGGAGTGAGCTAAACATAACGATAGTGGTGTAGGCATTTTTTACCAATTGTTATCATTTTCTGTACACTGTTATATCTCTTCTCCAAAAACAATGCAGAAACGATTTGACTTGTAAATTAGGCTCTGACAAACACGGAATCCAGCTATAATGTGAACTGTTTATAAAAGTTACCAATTTAAAATGTAATGTTTAAAGTCCACCTGAATATACTCAGTTTCCATATTTTCTCTCCTCCTCTCCCTTTCTTTCTGTTATTTCCGACGCTGTGTTGTATTCCAATATATTCAGAAAGAGATAGGAAGTGTATTCACTGCAAGCATCTACAATGTACCAGCAGTGTATCAGCTAGACGACAGTGCATAAAACAGAATTTATTCAAGGTAATTCTGAATGATGGCGATGTAACGAGAAGTAAGGTCGACTCAACAACTCCAACTCCCAAGCCCCGTACAATTCACTTGAAGTGTGACAAATGTGCTCATAAAAATGATATTTCAAGATCAATTTTTACAGACGAACCCATAGCATGCACCACAAGTAAAGAGTACAATGTCAACAATATTATTAAACACGTTCCAAAACCCGTGATTTGTCCAACAACTTCATTGTCATTAACGAAATACAGAGTAAACTCGAATCCTGCAGTATTTAAACATCCTCATGGTAACAAGAGTAATATAAATGCCTTAGATTTGCAAGGCTCAAAAATCCCTTACTCACAAAACTATCTTTACCACTTGAAAGCACAAAGAGAAAAGGAAGTCACATCAATACCCAGTACGCATCATTCTTACTACTGTCATATTCATGATTACTTCTCAGTGAAACCTTTACTCTACAGTCATGCTAAGAAAGCATCACATGAAAACACCGTTAATATCTTTACTCATAATGAAGAAGGACAAAGTACGCAGACACATTTAAAACTTGAAAAACGATTACGTCTCCTTCATGAACGCCTGTTACCAGAGTTTCACTTGTCTTCTTCAAATAGACATGAGCAACATGGAAGAGAAAGGCAAGAAAAAGAGGAATACATTATGTTACAAGACGAGGCAGGAGATGGACTGAACTCAGTGCTAAAGGAATCGAACACATTCTACAAGTTTATTGAGAACTTAAGTGAAACCGAATGGGAAATTTTGATGAAAATATTGGGAAACAGAACTGATTGTGAAGTCGCATAGATATGATGTTAGCCATGATACATTCTTCTAAAGTCGACATTTATGTCACTGAAAGTATTCGCTGTAAACCAACTAACCAACTAACTAGTGTATAACAGCTAATTACATATGGAATGATGCAAGCAATGCTATATGGAACCATAAATGTCCGGAGAATCATAATCATAGCGTCTTTATGAAGTCCTTAGTTCAAGTATCACGTTTGGTATGCAGTTTAATGTAGACTTTCATTTTTATCATTTAGAAACAAGCTAAATTTTATCATTATGCTGCTGATTATTCAAACATGTGTGTGTAAGAGTGTGTACGTGTGTGCGAGGCACTTCATCGAGTTCATGTAAACAGAAACATTGAATATGAATTAATAAAGTGAAAGGTTGTAACAAGTCATGCAAATACTCACTAGTCCGTGACGTGCAAATGAACCGTATGGAGCACATGCAACGAAAACTGCTTCTGAAATCAACTTGTATTCTTTACTGTCACTTAAATGAGTACAAATATCTATGTGTACACGTGCATAATTGTTTTTGCCCTAAAATGTATTTCTCTCTTTTAAATGAGAAGTCATGATAATGTATTTCATTTTTGTTATTGTTACTATCATTATTACTATTGCTGTTTATGAAGTCAATCGTCCGATGTAAAATGAGCAAGTTATAAAGTCAATAAATAAAGTGGAGTTAGTTACAAAAAGTAAACAATACGCATATGTCTGAACAATTTGTAGATACAGATAAACGAAAACACTCATCAGACCTTACTGGCATAGACGGAAAAGAGTAATCTTCGTGTTTGCTTTAATATATTAGAATTTGACTGACTGACTGGGTTCAGCATAGAACTTTGCACAGAAGTGCAGCAGTTCGAATCGCCACACTCCATGTAACACAAAAAGGAAGACAAAAGAGAGAGAGAAAAAGAGATTCAGCAGGAAGACAGAATACAGAAATGTGAAGGGGGAAGAAAAGTAATATAGAAAAAACAACAGAGTTTTATTGGATAGGTCAAGTCACAAAAAGTGAATGTATCTGCGTCATTGACAAAGATTTTGAGCCATATTACCAATTGTCTCCAGTCTTCATTGATTCCTACCATCCCAAGGTTCCCAACCAGTCACAAAGTCTATATCTTTCTACGTGGCTAAATCCAACTGTAGTGGATTACATTGTCTGATGCCGTGTTTTCGTTTGACCACCACTAGCCCTTTTCCAACCTGATCCTATGTCAGCTTACACTGTCCATAGAAGAAGGCGATCAGTGACCTGGGATCCATGCGTGACGCATGTCCTAACCATCCCAATTGATGTAGCTTCACAACCTCGTCGATTGGTTCCCCTCCTTTCCTAACACTAGACACCTAACCTCAACAATGCTCACCGTATTATACCACTGAATACGGGAGATAAAACGCGGGTACCTATGGTCACAGAATTAGAATTAACTGGAAGAACTTGTATGATATCACTAGACGAGCTTCCTATTTCCTATTTTTCAGAAAGGAACGCGGACGTGACCCTGCTAGAGGAAGGAAAGCCCGGTTGTCGAAACTTGTTATAAATGAGGACAACTAATTTGTACCCGGGTAATTTGAGTCTTGCGTGGTGACAATAAAGACCTTTTCTCCCGCATCTTCGTGTTCTCCCTTCATTGCTTGTGCCTGTTGTCTTTGAGTGTTACAGGTAACAAGCGACAACAACAATAATAATATCACAGTCAATTACAGTTAACCAAAACGATACCAAAATTATAGACTCACTGACTTGAGCCAACTTGAACATGTAAATCCATCAATATATACAATTATAGGTATTAGTTAGTGTTAAACAAGCACAGAGTGGCAAATAGATAGTTATAGGTATAATTGATATACAATATTATATCCAAAAAATAAGTGTTTCAAAGGCAAAAAATTGTAATAGTTCTTTGCAACTTTTTGGCAAGATATTCCACAAAAATCAGAGATTTAGGTAACTATGAAAATGTAGCGCATCAATCGAAAAGCGCGCGTTAATACTATATAGATGCCTAAATTATAATAATAATAAAGATATAATAGCGAATAGAATATCAACTAAAATTAAGGAAATTTCACGAAAATTCTGGATTATTCGAACCTGGATGGCTAATATTGTTATTAACTACTAATTTAAAATATTCTGTGTATATAAACATAGATAATTGTAGAGCCTGGAAGAGGAATTTGCCGAAAAGAATATTATTTGCTCGATTATTTTGTGTTTTATAGATGTCTGAATAAGTGTTTTTGCTATATTGAAATCAGATTCCTATCAGTCACGGGAATTCGACAACATGTTTTCACTTCTGATACACTGACTGGTGAACGTGAAATGTGATGTTTTCTGATTTCCTTCTATTCAGGTAACCAAACTGGATTATTTATTAAGTCAGTCACACCAAATGGATTGGCAGATAAGTCAGGGAAACTGAAAGCAGGTGATCAGTTGATAGCTGTAAATTCTAAAGCCTATTATCTTCACCTTCAGAAATTCCTTATACCTGTAACACGGAGGACTTCAGCGCAAAGGTGCATGGACTACCTGACAGCCATCAAAAAATAATTGTTAAACAAAACCAACTCATCAAGAACTCACTGAATATAATGAACAACGGTGATAATAGTTCTACATATCCCGATGACACTCATGCTGTTAGACCGTCTGATAAATATGATGCAAGGCTACACTTTAACTGTGCAGATGACGAAATGAAAGCTTTCAACGAAAATGCTACAAAAATTAGTTCAGTGTATCCGTTTGCAGCTAGATTGCTGAAGCAAGCCTATGGGCCAGTTAGGCTTAGTTTGATTCGTTATAATAGTGTGGGAGAACGAAACGAGTCTCAGCCTCAACAGAACTGTCATTTAGACATAAGTGAAGGGACACAACAACACCTCATCAACATTTCACAGGAAGACAGTCAAGACATCGTCACCTGTAAAACACAGAGTAAGTTAATATTCATTCAGTTTCTATTTTCAATTGAGAAGTATAACTTTACACAAACTATTCAGCTAATATTTCACATGAAATTACAAGTCTCTGCTGCAAACAGATAAGTATCAGTTTTGAATAAACATGGATGAGACAGATGATCGACTAAATTACCCCGTAATTCTGAAAAATGCAGATTGTGTATAAGTGAGTGTAGGGGGAATCCATGGTCAGTTTTATTGTATGATATATCTTCTTCCCAAGTGTCAGTCATGCTTGTTTCCCTTGTGATTGTTGATGGAAATGAATAAGCAACAGCTTCACACTTCAAACTGTGTGTGGCAAATGTTTATATATCATAAAAATCTTTCTTCTGACCATTAGGTTGTGATATATATATATATATATATATATGAAATAATACCTGAAGAGGGGAAAACTTAATTTATGTATACATATATTTGTATAAATATCATCAGTCGCAAGTGACACCTGACAATATCTCGTGCAACAACGATCAGAAAAATCTGCAGATCTGAGTGAGTACATGAAGAGATCACTGTTTCGAGGAAGACACTGATAAATAATGGTTACTCCCAAAGCTTCACAGATAAACACATAAGATCTAGAGCGAACAAATAAAACCCAATCTCTGTACCAAAGAAGATGCTACGCATGAATAAGGCGTTCAGAGGCGACCTTCTGGCCAACACTCTAAAGTAGAGAATATTAAGCGCCTTGAAAAAAAATTCCTCGCTTCCACATTGAGACTGGTATTCTCCTCCCGCTTAATGTTCTTCAATGACTCTTAAGATAAACTTTCTCATCTGAGCACTTTTGTGTGTGTCTACCAATTCAATTGCTTCTGTGGGGAGAGATATATAAGTCGTTCATTGAGCTTTTTATCTAAAAGAATCAAAGAACACCATCCCTCTTGGCTATAGAAAGGTCACAATGGATCAATAAAAGGTAAAATTACTTATTATAAATATACAACACTGACCACTCATTATGTAAGGAAAATTCATTCAGAGTTATCTATAAAGTCAACATAAGCCACCCAAAAACGGTATGCTTCTGTATAATTTGAATTACTAAGGCCTTAGCAACTCGGATTGAGAATCCTGAGTTATTTGCACAGAAGAAACTTGTTCATCACCGCCTTCTATCTTGGATATAATTTCAAACTCAAATGTTATCAATATTTTGTTATTAAGACTATTTTTTGTATTTTTCGTTTGGCATTCATTAAAATTATTCACCTAACTTTTTGTTCGTACTGTTCACATACTACATAATTTATTTTGATATGTGTCTCCATACTCTTTTATTAACATCAGATTTTTCTATGACACAACTTTAGTCTGAAAATACTAATCTTCACCCACCCCAGTTACAATTTAATAAATCATCATGTAACTGAAATTGTGTCGCTAACTAAATGAATTCATCACAGAGAGTACCTTCTCTGAACAGTCTATTCCTATGTCCATGTCCGGAAGGGTATTTTTTTCGTGAATTAAAAAAACGAATAATCTTTGTTCGCTAGTATGTCTACGTCCAAGTGTAGGCTTTTGCTTAACATTACTATGACATTGTGTTATGACACTCAGTATAATTGTTAAGATCTGGAAACAGTCGACATTACCAGCGTTCTTGTATAAATACCATCTTCTGGTCTTATTATCTCACCAACTATCAGACACTACAGTAAATCCGTGAAATGGAATCTTCCACTTGAAATGCACCGTGAATAAGTTTTTTTTGTGTTCACCATAGATAGTTTGTTTCTGTTGCAGAAATGCTTATTTAATTGTCTAATACTCAGAAACCTATGCGAAAGCATTATTCCAGATGATGTTTTACTGTTTCACTTCTGATATTACCGATAACATCTCATATTCCGTGTGTGTCCGTGTGTGTGTGTGTTTGCCTGCATGCTTATTGTGTCACAGCTCACGTGAATGATGCATTTAACTTTTATTCTTAAATATATTTTAATTTTGTTAATCACGTGATACGAATACCATGGCAAATAAAATTGAACTTATTATATTCTTATTCTTCTTCTTATTATTATTCTGGGATACTTGGTTGTTCTTTTTATTCTAAAAAAGAAAGAGAAAATAATAATAAATAATAAAAGACAATAGAAAGTGTGTTGATAAATATAATGAATGAAGTAATGGATATTGTTTGGTAAAAGAGTTAACTAACTGAATTATATAAACTAGATAACTGACTAAAAGGCAATGAAGGAGATGACCATTAGAAAATTTGAACACCTTTCTCCAATGAATTAAAAATCAGCTTAAAGCAAGTTTACTCTTACATTCTTCAAAATATGTCTGTCTCAGCAAGTTAAGCGTCTTTGTGGTAGTTTAGAAACGACTGGTGTGCATTCCACTTCTGTGCAGAAAGGTTTCTTAAAGTGTGGTTCTCACTTACACCTAATGCCTTTTGTTTGCAATAAAATGTTACTCTTTTCCCAAATGTATGACATGTTGAAGATGTGAAAAACGCTATAACATTATTGGCATTTCAACAGAGTGAATGGTCTGACAAAGACATATCAGTGTCACGGTATTAAATTCTAATACATATTAAAAAAGATCTATAACACTTTAATCTTTCTGCTCTGTAGACACCTATAATAACGCCTAGTGTTGCTTTTGTCCACAAACTACTGGATATTAAAATGATGGAAATTACAAGTTCATTTGGATGCTTTTGGTGTTGTTGCATTCTCTGATCTGCACAGCCTTTATAGTCCTACTGGACATAGTCTTCAGCACTGCCTTCATTGTGAAGGGAATGATTGTTGTTTGTTGATATTTGACATGTTTCAAACGTGATCACGGAATGATATCAGTCAGAGAGCCACTGAAAACCAGGGAGTACTGAAAAGTTGTCTCCTCCAAGTTTGAGACTCATCAGAAGAACGAACCCACCACTGGCTTTTGAACCGAAGACATTCCGGTTAGAATGCAAACTCGTAGACCATTGAGTCACTGGGACCCGTCTCAATGGCCACCCTATGAATTCTAACTTCTACCAATTCATGATTTTAGCGTTACCATCAGTCAGTGTTACCAGGGAGTATTTGTTCTCACTCTTGGTAGTTGTGTGCTATAAACCAGGACGAAACGGCTGTCCAATACTCCCTGGTTTTCAATGGTTCTATAACGGACATCAACCCATGACTAAACTTAACTGTCTTAAAACTTTTTCAGTTTATATCTACCCAAATTATGTGTTGTTTTGACATAGAAGTGGATTAGATAAGTACATTTTACATATCTTGACCACATCATTAACAGAGACACTCTACTTGAATAGTGGCATGCGTAATTTTAAATCCAACAATAACTATCCATTCAAAACCAGAGAGCACTGAACAGTTGTTTCATCTTGGTTTAGGAATAGCTGTGGTTCCGACGAGAATCCGTCACCGCTGAGGTCTACATAATTGGATGTGGGGATAGATACTCGTTGATGACATTGATTGATAACAGTGATGGTGACGGAAATCAAAGTTCATAGGCCACTGGATCCAAACCCAGCAGCCTAGTGTTGAGCTGATGCTCCTGGGTTCTATTTCTGGTGGAATCATGGGTGAGTAGTGCAGAAGATTCCTGAAGTGTAGGGAAATAGCTGGTCACTACAGCCTAGATTTCTGTGGTCTGCCGACTGATGTCATTTCATGATGTAATCCACTTTTAAGTCACTTAAATCTCCACACACCCAGTAGTTGAAAATTAGTGATTCATTATGTTTCTCCATTTCCTTCCCATAACTATTAAGGATAACTTTTGCCATTGAAAAATTTTGAGAGTTTTCCTCTTCATAATGGTTGGGTTAGACTGGAAATGCACATAATTATGTAAATAAACATCATTTCGGGGAAATCTTTTGAAATCTTTTCGAAATTTCTTGTTTTCCAATGACGGTTACTCAGAGTTCACTCCCTGTATTTCACTACTGGGTGAACAGATCTCAAATGTACCTGAAGAAGAATCTATCTCTGTCTAGTTTTCTCCCCTGAGGAAATTTTCATCTTCAAGTCACAAGGGGAATTTCTTCTAGGTGTGAACTTTAGGCAATAACAGGTGAATTCAAACGTGCATTCTGGCATTAACCAAAAGCGACTTGGTAGATGTTGTGACAATATTAGTCATGGGATTAAGGTAAATAGTAGTGGCAACTGTGTTTACACAAAGTGTTTACATGCCAAAGTCATGAAATGAAAGTCAATTCACAATGCATAACCATAATTCCTGCTTCATTTAGCTTGGATATCAACAGCTGCGAGTATTCATACTGATTTAGTCTCTATTCTAGCAAGCTAAAGTATCCTACACAATAAAGATATTTAACGTGGTTACGCTTCGCTTATTTCCTATGCATTTTTGTGTGTGAGTGAATGAAAATCATAAAAATGTGTTACAAGCTTCAACGCCTCTCCTGATTGCATAGCACACAAGAAATAAGCAAAATGTGTACTCTGTTTTGAAACCAGCTAGGCTTTTACATCGCCTGCCAATTCATATGAAGCAAATCTTGAAACAATACAGTGATTACCACAAAGTTTTCCGATCAAACATAGGAAGCTAAGTGAACATTCAAACTAGAGTTTTGTGTTATTGACTTACAGCATGATTTAAATTTATCGACCATCATTTACTCAAGCCTGCTCCTAGAATTCATTCTGATTTGTAATACCAAAAGTACTGCATATTCATAGAACAGAGCCTAGATTTACTAGACTAAAGATATTTTGTAGGTTGAAATACTTGGAATTACTTTCAAGGATACTAAGAAGTAAAAACAGATCAAATATTTGATAGAATGAAGAGTTGTCACATCGCAAAGTAACAGCAAAAATAATCATAGCGAACTTATGAAAATAAAGCCACCGTATACTGTGTGGACTTTAACGATCATTTGCTTTTAGGATGGCTTCATGAAAGAATCACATTATCTGCCATTAATCCCGTTGGTCTAGTAGTGCAACT